GGCTCAAGGCTCCCACATAGAAGCCTCTGTCCTTAGCTATCACTCATGGAGGAAGGGGACAGTGTCCAAAAACTGAGGCTCAGAGGGAGAAGTGGTCCCTGCTATCCTCTGTCCCCAGCTCACCAGCTCCAGGCTGAATGTAATTGTCCTCGATGAAGCCATCATCATCCTCATCTTCAACCAACTCTGGGTGGTTCCCCCTCCCTGTCTCAGGCAGTGGGCGGTGCCTATAGCTGGCATAGTATCGGCGGCAGAGGTGGCATTTGGCAGCAAGTGCGATGAGGAGAGAGAGGACCACAGCCCCCAGCACAACCCCTACCAGCACTGGCCATGCCCGGGCCCCAGTGCCTGGTCCAGGGGCTATGGCTGATGCCGTGGGGAGCTCCGAGGGCCCCACAATGGCTGTAGAGAAAGGAACAGCATTATGTGCAGACCTCCAATGGGGCTCTATGGGGACACCAAGAGGAATGAAGGAAGGGTCCTTCCCCTCAAGCCCAGCATCTAAGGGTAGCCTTCCCCAGTCACCCCCCTGACGCCCACTGTGGTCACTCACTTTGGTTTGTCCCATTCATGGAGGGGCCTGATGACTGGTGAAACTTGGCCTTGGCCAGAAAGAACCCGGTCTCCAAGAGACCCCCCAAGATACCAGTCCTGAAAAATACACATACATGAGGGTTTCAGGGATGGCCACTGGGTACACAATCCAGGTCACACAGCCATGTTAGTGCTGCACAAACTCAGGATAGAACAGCTGGTCACGCCAGTTGTCCACAGAGGAGAATCAAGCCAAACCTACAGAAACTGGCTATTGGTAGGGGATAGCTGTACAGTCCAGCTCTAGAAGATACTGGCCAAATAAATAAATTCTAGAACTTAACTGAGCACTCCTCATGATTCAGGCACCAGACTTGCAAAACCCTGTAACATGGATATAAGCATTACCCCTACTTTGTAGATGAAGGCTCTAAGGCCAAGAATGGTGAACAAACTCAACCAAATCCCCTGGATTACACCAGAGACAAGTCTGCTGTACTGCTTAGCAAGTGGAGGACAGGAGATGGGACAGAGGTATTTCCTGGCTCCTGAAGGTCAGACAACAGAGCTACCCAGCCACAGTGAAGACCACTCATGGGGCGGACCATGTGGAAGACCAGACATGCAAGTCCCCACCCAGGACAGGAGCCCTTCTGTTCCTGAGTGGGAGCCATGGCCTCTCCACCCCTACCCTTAGCCCTTCGAGCAAAAATTCCTGTCCATCTACCTCTACCCCCAGAATGCCCACACTCTGCTCCCAGAGGGAGGCTCGAGCCAGGAGTGTCCACACAAGGATCACCTGAGCCAGGAAATTACATAGATGGGAATCACCCAGGGCCCAGACACCTAGAAGAAGAACACCTGGATTAGGAGAGTAGTGGGAAGAAGATCATCTAGGCTTGGGAACAGCTGGAAAAGGAGCACCTGAATCAGAGGAGGTATGTCTGGGGGAGGTGCACTTGGGAGTATTAAAGCAGTGATTTCCTTTTTTTTTTTCTTTTGGTTTTTTATTTTAAAGCAGTGATTTTCAACCAGTGTGCTGTAGTGCACTGGTGTGCCATGAAAAATTTTAAAGATCATTAATTAAACTTTTTTGAAAGAAGTTCAAAGCAAAGTATAGTCTTTTACTTTTTTTTGACCAACATAATTTATATGTTGCAAAAGTTTAACTATAGGTTCAAGTGTGCTGTGAGATAAAAATGGTTGAAAAACATTGATCTAGAGGAAGAGCGGCAATGTTAAGGTCATACCTGGAGGAGCAGCAGGGAGTCCCTGGAGGCAGGGTAGCCAGGCTAGAGAAGTGCCAAAGAGAGCAGCACCTAGTTGAGGGCAGTACTCTGCCATAGTGCTTGACGCCCATACCTTAACAACACCCTCCCTCCTCACCTCCAACCTGGCGTCAAGCCCCATCAGTTCTTCCTGTAAATATCATTGGAATGACTCTGCCCCTCCTCCCTACATACTGCCACTGCTGAGTCCAATCCACCTCCACCTTGGACCTGAACTTTAGCCAGAATCCCCCACTGGTCTCTGCCCACCTCTAAGTCGTTCCCCAGAGTGATGGGCCAAAAGCCAAATCTGGCCCTATCACTTGCCTGATTAAAACTCCTTCAAGAGTTCCCCTTGCCCTCGGCGCTGCTTGCAGACTTCTCAGCGAGTCCTTCAAATCCTGCAAGCCAGCAGGTGGCCCTCAAGCCAAACCCCTCCCTCCTTCTCCACAATTCCCTCCCCCCCCACTCAGACACCAACACACCCCTCCAGACTCAACACCTTCTTGCTTCCTGGCCACTCCTCACTTCAGTGTTCTCGACCCCATCCATCAAGTCCAAATCAGACCATACTTCCTTGCGAGATTGTCCCAGGGTCTCCCTGATGACCCCATCACTATCCTGCCCGGTCAAAGACCAGTCAAAACTGGCCATTGCCACGCAGGCAGCTCCCAGAGGGCAAGGACTAGCTGATGAATTGTGCCCTGGTGCTCCGCAGAGCTGGGCATTCAGCAGCTCAGAACCATGTATGTGAGATGAAGGAGGGGAGTATGAGAGGGGGGTGGGGACACGCCTTCAGAAGGAGAGGTAAACTGTTCATTCATTAGCCTACTGTGGGCCTCACACTAGGCACTAAGTCCTCAACAAATGACAATTCCTTAAATTGGAATGAACTGATTTCAATTTGATGTTTCCAAGATTTCACTCCCATTCCTTTCCTCCCTGCCCTGTCCCTGTGAATTCTTCCCAAGGAGACACGCAAACATACACATATCATAACGTTCAAAGGGTACAGATACACTCCCCAAAAGGCCCCTGAACTCACAGTCCACACCAAACGCCAGACCCCACTACACACACCTACGTCACCTCACCCCTCAGGTCACATTTCCTCCACTAAGGAGCACATGCACCTGCTCAGCACAAATACCCCGCTCTGGTCCGTAGCCAGTTCCTGCAGCCCCGAGCCCCTGGGGATCTTGCCGAGGCTGGGTACTCCCTCACAGCACTCCCCCCACCCCCATGTCTTCCCACTCCGCTCCCACCTTCAGGAACCGTGCACAGTCCGTGGAGTACGCTTCCGGTTAGGGCCGGCAGAACCTGCACTGGTAGGCGGGCTCCAGCAGCCACTTGACTCACCTGGGGCTACAGCAGGTGGGCGGGGCCCAGTGCAGGTGGGGAGGGGCGGGGCATCGATCGGCAGCGTGTCCAACCGAGAGGACTCATGCTACTTCTGCCCGAGCCTTTGCCGAGAACTTTATGAGTGTAGGCCTCACCCTCACTCCCAGAGCTGGGAGTGTCACAGCTGGGACACAGGAAAGGGACCCTAGAAGGGGCAGACACCTCAGGAGACAGCTGCTCGAGCTAGTAGCCCCAGTAAACAAGTGGATTTCCATGACAGGTACAAAATCCAGAGTTGAAATGGGAGCTGGAACCAGAGGGAGTCTCCTCACCAGGCTTCCCCGGCAAAGCCAGAGGGACTAGAGAGACTCGGAATTTGCCTGCAAACTTATGTGTGTGCAAGCGTGTGTTTGTCTGGATCTCAAGAATCCAGTAGCCCCATCAGCCAGGTTCTGGGCTTTTCTGAGAGCCGTGATTGGTGGGCGAGCCAGAGCTGCCACTGACTCCCTGTTGCCTCAGTCCTGGGCCTGGCGCCTCTTTGACCTTCAGAACCCAGTTCAACAGTCACCTTCTTCTCCGCCTTCTACCCCGAAGCCCCGCCCCTTCCGCGCCCGGAGCACCCTCTACCGCGGCATTTCTCCAGGTACCTTGTGATCATTTCTCCTAGGGCTGTGACCCAGAAGCTCTCCCGCAGTGGGGCCAGGCATGGACAACCTCTGGGCTCCCGGCACCGCACCTGACCCAGGGTGGGCTCTCAGTAAACCCTAAGGGAGGGAGGACTGCAACGCTTAGGCCTGAGGTGCTGGAATTCACAGGGACCTACAGGGCACAGCTGGAGCAAGGGCTGCAGGAGAAAGGTTGCAGGTGGGGGAGCAAGGGAAGGTGGAAGCGGGTTCAATGTTGACCTCTGGAATATCTTAGCATGGAGCCTGACCGCTCACCGCCAATGGCCCTTTCCACCTGTCCAACCTTGGCTGGGCTGAACCCTCACACTCTGCTCCAGCCACACCAGACTGTTTTCCCTTTATTCCCTGGCCTCCCGACCCCTGCCTTCCCTCTTACTCTTCCTCAGGACCCTCTGCCTTCCAGTCCTGCGCTTCTCTCATGCCCTGCTGAGGCGCGTCCTGGTCTAGACCAGGCTTCCCTGGTGCTCCCGGATCTGGTGAGGAGCGCTACCCTCCGCCATGCCCTTGCCCCCATTCCCTGACTGCATAGCACTGCGCTTTATCTTTAGAACTTCTCCTACCGGCCTGTAAACTCTAGGGGAGGGATCAGCGACTGTCTTGTTCCGGTCATATCTCCAATAACTAAAAATGATAACAATAAATGCTTCTGAAATAAATAAAGGTAAATATTATCCTGGACCAGGCAATGAGGGACCAGGAACTTTTGGGGTTTTACTTTATTTCTTTTCTTTCTTTTTTTTTTTTTAAGAAACAATGTCTCACTTAATCACCCTCAGTAGAGTGCTGTGGCGTCACAGCTCACAGCAACCTCCATCTCCTGGGCTTAGTTGATTCTCTTGCCTCAGCCTCCCGAGTAGCTGGGACTACAGGCGCCCACCACAGCACCCAGCTATTTTTTGTTGCAGTTTGGCTGGGGCCGGATTCGAACCTGCCACCCTCAGTATATGGGGCAGTGTCCTACCCACTGAGCCACAGGTGCTGCCATTTTACTTTATTTCTGAAGCAACAAAATCACCAGATTCAACTGATACTCACTGAACACCTACCATGCCCCAGGCACTGTGCCAGATTTAGTTAAATCGAGGAACTCATGTACTGTAACCTAATTCATGGAGCATGCAATTCACCATTTTAGCCATTTTTAAGCATACCCTTCAGTGGTAGTTGGTGCATTCATAATGTTGTACAACCATCACTCTAGTCCTAAAACATTTTCATCATACTAAAAGGATACCCCTGACCCATTAAGCAATCATTCCCCGTTTCCATCTCCCCACAGACCCTGGCAACCACTAATCTGCTTTCTGTGTTTATGAATGTGCCTATTTTAAATATTTCATATAAATGAAATGATATTTGTACTAGCTTTTTGTTTGTTTTTCTGAGACAGAGTCTCAGTCTGTCATTCTGGGCAGAGTGCCATAGCGTTTGAGCTAATAACCTCAAACTCTTGGGTTCAAGTGATCCTCTTGCCTCAACCTCCTGAATAGCTGGGCTACAGGTGCCTGCCATGACACCTGGCTAGTTTTTCTATTTTTAGTAGAGACAGGGTCTCACTCTTGTTTGGGCTGGTCCTTAATTCCTGAGCTCAGACAATCCACCCACCTCAGCCTCCCAGAATGCTAGGATTACAGATGTGAGACACCACGCCTGGCCTTGTGCCAGCTTTTTAATGAACTATTTAATCCTTATAACCATGCTATGAGTTAGATGTTAATTGTTCCCTTAACACACAAAGAAAATGTGAAAGTAACTGGCATGAAATCCTACAGAAGACCATAAGCGAAGGCTCTGCACATCCATCATTCAGTC